AAAGTATTCTAGAAAATAATCCGGTGAAGATAAATATGTCTTTTAGATTTAGTTCTCCAGGAAAATTCTGAGACAGAAGTTGGAGATTTAATAGAAGAAACTTAACTGGCAAATTCTACCAGGAACCACCTCCATAAGGACTGGACATAAGAAGAAAATGAACTGTGAATTCAGTTGCAATTGAGAATTCAGTAAATCCCATGGGGAGCTTCAAAGTTGGAAGACTCTTTAGAGATGTCTCAAATGTAGGCAGGAGAGCAGGTCCTTTGGGCCCCACCTTAACCAGTCATTGAATGCCGGCTGTCCGCAGTGAAGGATCATAGCCTTGGGTGAGGTAGCTCCTGGGAAGGGGCTCACTTCAGTGGGGCACATACCTGAATATCCACTGTACACAAGGTGCTATGCAGACTACCATGAGAAATATAAGGATGATTTGGATATATGTTCAGTTCTCAAGAGAACAAAATGTAGATGACAATGACGTATCATGCAAGGCTGAAAATGACATTTGTAATAAAAGAAACAAACATATGTCCTGAGAATTTAGAGGAGGAAGACATTATTTCCATCTGAGAAATTAGGAACATTTTTATGGAAATGTCAGCACTTCGGCTGGACCTTGTAAGTGGGTAAGATTGGAACACGTAAAGCCAAGAGTGGGCTTATGAGAGGTATTTTAAGATGAGGAAATAATGGCAACAGAGATGAGTAAGAAGAAAGTTTCATTTGGTTTAAGTATAAAGTAATGAAGGCAGATAGAAAAACTTCCCATAACAAAATAAGCTTAAGGAATATTTTGCCAAGAGTTGCAAATTATAGAATTAATTCCATAAGCATGAGGGGCTGCTTGAAGCACTTGAAGCTAGAGAATGACATACCAGAAGCTTTATTTCAGGAATATTAATCTGGATTAGGGAAAACTATATGCCCTTAAAATCTTCATAATCTGCTCTTTAGAGAGGAAGAAATATCACAACTATTGTCTGCCAGGCAGTTACTTTATATGTTGTACTAAATAAGTAGTGTCATGGTTTTTCATTAACCGATTTTCTTCCCATTGTGTCAATATTTCAGTCCTGGATTTTAATCTTATCTCAAAAAGACATTGTCTTTGTTCAAACTGCTTTTTCCAGTAATTAGTCTGATTATGCACTTTAAACACTAGAGAGAGCTCAGGGATCTCAGTCACTCATTTCAGCCCAAGATCTAACAAGGGCCAAGGTCAAAATAGAGACTTTAAGGACATTCAGTGGGGACAAAATTAGCAACACAGCATACCCAAACTTCCCAAAGAAACAATTTACTGTTAGAGATATGCTAGAAAAAAAAATCAATTATTTGATAAATATGTCACCATTCTGTTATTTGTGTAATAGGAAAAAAATTAAAACATACCGAAACAAAACAAAAATGCACACTGTAGTCTAATTCAGCGATGATGACAGTTCTGTCTCTATGTGTAGTGGTTAGAAGTGCAGGCTCCAGAGTTAGATCCTGGCTCAGTCACTTACGACCTGTATTCCTTGTCCAAATTACTATACAGCTCTACACCCAGTTTTTCATCTGCAAAATTGGGTCACTAATTGTGTCTGCCTCAAGGGATTTATGAAGATTAAATGAGTTACTATATATCAGTCTCTTACAACAGTGTCTGGCACAAAGTAAGCACCCAGTAAATGACAGTCATCATCATTATCATCATCATCTTGCTGATTCACATCACCTACTCACACAAATTTTTGTCATGTTGATATATTTGCATTGCTTTACATAGCTCTGTATATGCGTTTCTTATTATCATTCGGATATTCAATATCAATGTTTAGTCAACTGTGTTTTCTTTCTTGACAACTCAGATTATTTTTAAACAATATTCAAATTAAACTACTTCTTTTTTAATCCTGAAAATCTCTCAGTAGCTGTAATTCTCTAGCAGCATCTTTCCATCTGTTGCTTCCCCTCCACCCTTCCACCTTCCTTTCCCACATTTTGTTCAGAAATAACAGAACAGATTAGGCAGCAGTCCTCAGGATCCCTGGGTCCTGAGAGCTGTGTCCTACTGCATGGTGATTGCTGAGGACCACAAACACACTGACTGACTCAAGCCAACACAAATCTTTTCTCCAGACATTATTCATTCATGCTAGGTCTGTGTCACCACCATTGGGGTGGAGTTGGGTGGAAGAAAGAAAGGTTAGCGCCTTCTTCCTCTATACAATTTTCTCTTTTCTCTTGCTCCCAGTTTAAGTTACGTTTGTGCTAAAAAGGCCAAGCAGGACTAGAAAGGCACCTGTAGGAAAGGTGTGAACACTCCTTAAGTGTTAAACCTTTAATAATTAAGAAGGAGGGGAGTCCTTTTTAATTGTCCACAAGTTGTCCAGCCAAGTGCCCTCAGTCTAGAGATCACTTGGTAACATAGGAAGAAGGCTCTTGCCTTCCTCCACGGGTAAGACCAAGGGGACAGATCTCACAAGTTCTCTGTTGTAAACCACCTTCCAGGCATGTGGGACTGCAAAATTCCCTTCCCAACCAGCCCAGAACTGCTTCCAGTCTGCTCACTTCATTGGTCTTCACTAGGTCCGGAGCAACTATTTATATAACATGGACAGAGCTTGGATGTGCTGACAATGGCATCCATCCACGTGAATGTAAAGCCCTTTGTGATACCTGACAGAGCCCACAGTATGCAAAGAATGGAGCAGGCTGCAGGCCTCAGCCAGCGGGTAGGGGCCATACACCTAGTGCTGCCACATTCCAACATAGAACCCAGAGGAACTAAGGATTCTTAAATTCGAACTTGGCCTTCCAGCCATTGTGAAGCTAGGAACGAGGTAGGAGGACAGAATGTAATTTACATAGCACTCTGTTAGTTTAGTTAATAACTCTTTTAATATTTACGTTGTAAGTCCCCATTTGTACTCATGTGCCACATCATGTTAACATGAGCATTTGCCTGGATCATGCTCTACATTCACCATTCCTTAAGAACCAAGGGTGGCCTGAAAGATCAGAGGCCTAAAAGGATTTGGGTCATGAACCAGGACAGGTTTAGCCTAATGAATAGTACAGAAACCCGTATGGATAGGCACTTTAAAATGCCTAGATGATTCAAATACCTTTGTAACTCAGCACCTAGCATAGTGACTTGTCAAATGAAAAATGAAGGAATGAATGAACCAACTTTCCCAAAGTCTCAGACAACTTGAGAAACTTGAATATAGCCTTCCATTTGGCAGCAGCATTGCTGGTAATATGTGCAATTGTCTTTGTGCCTGAGGAGCAATGAAGCTGATAAACAATAACAATAGCTTTGAAATTTGCATAAAATGCATATAGAAAGAACTATTTTCTGCTTTTTAACAACACATTGAGGTACTCACATGTGTAAACCAGGAATGCTACACTTAGAAATAAGTGCCACTTACGCTTAGCTCCTTGATTACATATTCAAATAAATGTACACAGTTTTATTTGAATGTACAATCCTATGTGAATGGGAACATTCAAACTCATTTGGTCCATTTATTTAGATCTCTGATGGCTCATTCTAGTAAAATGTATGTACTTTCCTCATTTTTCTTTTCAAACCATTAACTGGAAGAAACATAATTTAAAGCATTTTGTTAAAACAGCATTAAGGATGGTGAGTTGTTTTTTTTTTTTTTCCTTTCTTTCTGGTGCTGCTCCATTGAACTGCAATGCATAGAAATGAATGCATTGCCACAAAAATGAATATACATTACGTACAACCTCAACAACATTCTACTGAGTAAAATGCCCTCATGTATAACAATGAATTGTTTTATGTATAAAGAAAAAATATTGGTTTCACCAGAACTAAAGAGAAAAGAAATGCTTCTTTGCCTCCCCCACCACTTCAACTATTGTGGATTGCAGGATTGGTTGGGGGAGGATGGAAAATAGGTGTTTGTCATTATATAAATGTTTAGCAGGTGATGGGGGGAAAAAACAGCTCCAGGAAATTAGAAGAATATTTTTGTGTGTGAGGTATGTGGCCTTTTCCAATCTTACAAGTGTACTCCACAGCCACTGATCTGGGGAGTGATGGGATTGGAGCTGAATTTCCAAAAGGTTAATCTTGGAACTGTGTGTAAAAGGGCAAATGAGAAAGAGTAACTGGGAGAAAGGGGAGTAAATAACTGTTAGTCTCAATGAGAGTAACAAGGGCCTGAAATGGGGTCACAGCATCTGCAAAGGGAGATGGGGACGTGGTCAGCAGGTACTGATGATGGAAAAAGGAATGCGGCATTTGCAGTCAAAAGGGTATTACTGCCTGGGCCGGCATGGTGGTTCACGCCTGTAATCCCAGCACTTTGGGAGGCCGAGGCAGGCAGAGCACCTGAGGTCAGGAGCTCGAGACCAGCCTGGCCAACATATAGTGAAACCCTGTCTCTACTAAAAATACAAAAATTAGCTGGGTGTGGTGGCACATGCCTGTAGTCCCAGCTACTTGGGAAGCCGAGATAGCAGAATCACTTGAACCTGGGAGGTGGAGGTTGCAGTGAGCCAAGATCGCACCACTGCACTTCAATCTGGGCAACAGAGAGAGACTCCATCTCTCAAAAAAAAAAAAAAAAAAAAAAAAAAAAAGAAAGTATTACTGCCTGTCCTCTCTCCTGAACCACAGCCCTTCACTTTAATACTCTGACGGACTTAACACACAGGGGTATCTTTCAGAAACTCAAAATGCTCACGATCCAGCATGAACTGACCATCTTTTATTTTTGTTTTTTTTCCACACGGTTCAGGGATATGTTAAAATTTTCCCCATCCTAGGAAACATTCTTCAACACTGTTTCTCTGATCAACTCTGAGTCTCTTCATCAAATTACTTTTGCCTCTTGTCTCACACATGTTTAACCACAACTTTCCTTCCTGCCTCACTGTTCGAGAGGGGACAGCATTTGGACAAGGACAAAAACGGTAAAATGAGCCTTAGATGGAAAGGGTGAAGGGATGGGCAACAAGTGTCTGCCTACCTTTTAGGCTTCTCATCTCTCTCTGGTCCATTTCAGATAGTAATATGAGGCATAAGATGATTATCTGGGAGGGAGGTTTCCTTCAGGGTTTGAGAGGAGCCAGGGTGGGCACAGAGGACCAACTTGAGCCAGTTTAAGCCCCAACCTGTGAAAGGAAGTAAAAATTCAAGCCAAGACCCCCACAAAAACAAAATGTGCATTTGGCTGCAGCAGCACTCTGTGTTTTTCTGAGCAAATGTAACCTGGCAAAAGTCAGGCCACTCTTCACATCTGGCATAGTTGGAAGGAGAGGTTCCCAACAGCAGGAAAGCCTATTAATGCCTCTACCCAGTGGAATCTTGCTTCCATTCCCATTGCTTTATAGAAACAACTCTGGGAAATGACCTTTTCACTTCCCATCTGTACACCCTCTACCTTGTGCTGCCTGGCTCTCTGTGGTGGCCCCTGGGCACTCCTGCTTCTTTGTCTCCAGGTTGTGTCGGGCTCCCTCCACCCTCTCCAACTGCTCATGTGCAGCCTGCACCTCAAGCTCTTCTTCCTCCTCCTCCCTCTTGCCCTTATCTCTCTTCTGGATTTTTTTCTCCACCAGAAATCTTAATTCATCATATGGCTTCAAAATCCACATCCACCCAGCTAACTCCTACATCTCTATCTCTAGTTCCAAAATCTCACCTAAGCTCCAGCTTCATATTTTCAAATGTCTGCCAGGAATCTTCTGATATTTTTTCAGGCTTCTCCAAATGAATGCATCCAAAATGAAGCTTACCAGCCTACTTTTCCAAACCTGCTTTTTCTTCTGAATTTCCCTATAACGCAATGCTCCCAACATTCCTACTCAAAGTCTAATTGTTATTTATTCATTCATTGAAAGAAAGCCCTAACTGAACACCTGTTATGCTCCACAAACTGAGGTAGCCTCTGGGTACACATTCCTGCTGCAGGCACCCGTAACTCATTTTTTTTTTATTAGTCCATCTATTGCTAAATTCTAATAACTCTATCTTAGTAATATCTTTCAAATTCATTCTGTCTTATGGAGTCCGGCTTTTACTATTCAAATTCAGACCTTCGTGAGTTCTTAGATGGATCATTGCTATGGCCTCCCACAGTATATTCCTCCTTTCTAATTCATTTGACAGTTCATCCCCAAATTAATCTTTTCAAAACACAATTTTCATGGATCAGAAGCCAACATAGAGAGTGGAAAGACAGCTGCATCCCAACAAGCTATATGACCCTTTGCAAATCACTTACTACCTTTTCTTAGCCTGTTTCTTCTTTTGTAAAATGGGACTAATGATTCTTTCCTCATCAGGGATGTTGCCAAGATTAATGAAATGATACTACCATGATTCTAAGTATTTTCAAATATTACTTCATTAAATTCTTTCAACAATGTCATGAAGTATGTACTATTAGAATACCCTTTTCACAGATAAGGAAACTGAGGCACAATGAGGGGAAAGTATTAATAATTTGCCTTAACTCATATAGCTAAGTAGTACAAATTCAGGATTGGAACCCAGGCAGTCAGATTCTAGAGTATAGGCTCTTGCCTGACACATTGTAGGCAAAAACAGGAAATAAAATGTTAGTTCCTGTCATCTTCCCAGATATATATGAGCTTATTTTTCTCCTTTTTGCACAAACTAGATAGAGTTACATTTCTAACACTTGCAACTGAGTCTTAATATACGTGCCAACCAGTTGAGTTCAACTCTGGTGAATAGTAGGGAGCACAGGAGCATCTCTGGCGGCCAACACATCAAACTCCACACAAAGTCTTGTAACTTATTAATAATCTCTTTCAAATACATACAAAACATTTTGTTAAAAGGAAGAATGTACAGAAAGCTTGACAAAAGCATATTTCTAGAGTAAATTCTCTAAACAAAATCTCAAATGTTTACTCAAAAGCACAGGTAAATTCCAACAAGCAGCTTTTTAGTTCAGACTGTATAGTTTAGATGTCGAACTTCCTCTCTATACTGGTATTGCTAGTGTCTCACTTGAAGTGAACCTGTTGATAAGCTAATAAACTTGAACTTGGCATATAATCTGCATTTGTTCTTCCATTTCAGGTTATTTATTTACTCATTTAACCATCAGTCAAATATTTGGGCAAAGTTTTAGATTAATGTGTTAGATAGAATTGCCAGCAGAAAAAGGGTTGTTAATCATGCCAATGTCTACTTTGCATTGACAAATAAATATTTCATTCAATAAGAGCTTTGTCTCTTAAACATCTTACCACCCTGAAGCCAAAACTGTACTTTTACTTCCCCAGTCTTTCCCTCCCCAGCCATAAAATGGACTCAAGTCTTCAGCCCTGGGAGCATTCTCAGCACGTCTTCTCTGCAGCAGGACTTAGTAGGAGAGTCGTCATTTAGACTCTTCAGGTTTATCTTTATCTTTTTATCCTGAGGCTGCACATGGTACACACAGAATTTCTTTTTAAATTATGCAATTTAAGTTAAGTAGTTTCAGCTATGCTGGCATTGTAAGCAAAGAATGTGGAACAGGAGTTTAGAGATGGCGAATGCTAGTCTAGCTTTACAATAATGTTGTATAAAAATCAACCAACTAAATGAGTTTAATACATGTCTGATGAAATAACAATACACCTGGCTGTATCTAATTTACAGGATCTTAATAGTTTGTATTGAGTTTTCAATGCTCAAGGCTAAATAAATAAATAGCCTGAAGTTTGAGTACTAATGTATTACCAGTATCTTTCTTCATTCAAGTACAGAAGGCATAAAACTGAGCTGGATGTATTGTCTGGGTTAGAATTAATCTTTAGGCAGGCAGATGGCTTTTTATTTTTAAACAATTTATGTGAATTTTTCTCATCTCCGAAGCAAGCCTCATTAAGATTTATGGGCTTTGCAAATAATTCTAAAAGTTTTTATGGAACCACAAAGTTGTTCTTTAAAACATCCAATCTCATGTTTGAGGAAAATGATAAACAGGTGACTTGCTCACTTCTGTGTGATTCTTTCAATGAGAGGATTGACTATCAATAAATAAGCTCATCTTTTTTTTCGAAATGTCAGGTTTTTAAATATACCTTACTTATCTGCAGATAACAAGTACATAAGAAGGATGAAGCATCTGTACTAATAGTTCCACTACATCTCCCTTTTTTGACTCATGAAATTCAGGAAAGCCCAAGAAAGACTTTAGAGTAATAACAACAGCTTTATTAATCATCAGAGTAATCCATTACTGTAAATCCTCCCAATGGCTTCCCATCGCCTGTAGAATAAAATTCAAATCCCTTAGCCTAATAAATTGTTGATGACCACCACCTTACCTACCACTCACATCTCACTGTAGCCCTCCTTGCAGATAACTCATGAACCTTAGAAGCTAATTCTTCCGCCTGATCCACCCACAGCCAACACAGAGAGCCAATGTTCCATGCTATTTCCTACCTCCGGGCCTTTGCTGCTGCTTCCCTCTGCCTAGAATCACTTCTCCCTCCTCTTAGCCCATCAAATAACACTTTCAGATTAAGTATAAACTCCTTCATGTATCCCCCTTAGGACTCTATTCCTACCCAGCGAGAGTTGACCTGCTTCTTTGTTTTCAACCATACTCTGCATATGTTCTTATAATAACATCAGTAACACTTATTTACTTATTTACTTATATGTCTATCACCTATTAAGAGATTATGAACTCCTTGAATACAGAGACCATTTTATTTATCTTTATACTCTTACTGATTAAAACATAGCTCACATACATTAGATAATAAATGGTGAGGGAATAAACAAACACATAAATAAATAAACTTTGCTTCTACACTAAAATTGAAAATGGGAAGGAAAGTTGAGCTGGGAAAGTTAGCCCAAATTTCTTAATCATCCTTTAAAAGTTCTATCTGAGCAGACAACAAGACATGACTTAAAAGCGAAGGGTTTTTTCTATTGAGAACAAGTGGTCTGAAATAACACGTTCAAGTCATTATGGCTACAAACCTAATGCCCTTAAAGTCTGAGGTGATGAACACAACAAAGAGTTTGTTACTCTTCTGGGAAAACCACTGTTCACACAAATGACTGTTGTTTTACAGAGAAATAAGAACCTTATATATTTTTTTAATTTGCCATTTAAGGGTATGCCTGTTTAAAATACAGATTCCTTGACCCCATCCCAGCCCCACTGAATGAATCTGAATCTCTGAGGATGCGGACTGTGTGGCTGCATTTTTTGCAAGCTTCCCAAACGTTTCCTAAAGTTTGATAACCACTTCTCTCCATACAGCTGGTAGACATTGATGAGTATCAGTTTATGCCAAAAATCCCAGGTACTGCGGAGGGCTGTGATTGTTTCTCCCCATTTCCTGACAGTTCTTAGAACTGGAGCTTTGTATTTTTCTTCTGTAATGCAAAACTAGCAGCCCAATTATACATGACTTTCTGACCCCCAAATTGTATTATTGCAAGGCACATTTTTTGAGGTTTGCTTTGAAAAGCACTTCAAAGTGACAGATAATCCAGAGTTCTCTGATTTATCTAATTAAAACTGTAAGCCCTGCTGGGCACACCACACCTGTGCTCTGCTTTCTGCACTAGTCGCATCCAATTTGCTATAGGGCACAGGTCTATGGGCTTGAATCTGATCAATCACAACATTAGTTTCAGAACATGTTAATTAATATAATTACATAATTAATGCCAGTAGGTGAATTAATATAAGATTTTATGGGGGTAAATTATATGCAGTGCATGTTAGAAATATGCTATAAAATATTTCCTATCAGCTAAAGTTACATTATTATGGTATTTTCAGCAAATTTACACAGATGTAGTAAGATTTAATTGTCCTCTTACATGTCTAATTTACCAGGATACTATTTTATTCTTTCAGCTCTGGATCCTGAAAGCTCTCCAGGTCAGGCCACAGTTGTGTTATTATTTCATTGTTGAGCTCATGAACTTTTCAACTTATCTATGAAGTAGAATTTGATCTGTTTGAACAATAGAGAGTATATGAGTTTTTGAGTAATGAGTCAAATGTTCAAACAATAGCTTTTTTCTGAGGTTAGGGCCACAATTGCAAAATAAACCATTTCCAAGGAAGTCTAATGGTGATCATTCTTCAAATTCTTCTCTTCTTAGAAAAATGGGCTGTGCC